TGATGATGATGATGATGATGATGGCTAGAGACGCTGCAAGATGTGGGTGCAAGTTGTGTCACTTTCTGTCCAGAGTGTCTAGTGATATAGTCACCTCGGAACGGCGTGTTAGGCTGGCACTAGGTCCCTCCATCCAACTTCATTCTTTCTTTCACAATCAGGCTTTCAAATAAGTAATGGCGTTACGGCGGCCAGGCATCGGTGTTTGACACCGGTGTTATTATGTCGATGATGATGATGGCGGCTGGTTATGCTTGTCACTTGTGATCTTCAAAATTTTTTTTCATGTATTGACTAATTCGGAGTAAGTAATCTCTCGGTAAGGCGAATGAATTAATTTTGGAAGGTTATGGTTAGTACGTTTCTTGTGACATCTGTAAAGCTTAAGAGTCAACGCTGAATGTTGCTGTTCAGGGTGATGGATAAAAGGACTATGGATAAACGTGAACGATCAGTCCTCATCAGCGTGTCTGAAATGACGGTTGCACGCAGATGGTGAGTAGTTTTCGGCGAAATGCGATGTGGCGTTTTTCGACATGGGAATCTTCGGGAGGATTCTTCGCTGTGGGTACCGCTCACCTTTACTGTGCTGTGGAAGGCTTCCACTAGGGTCTACGTCCGCTGGAGCTGGTGCGCTTTTTCGCTGCCTTGGACAACAAGTTGTCTGGCTGCATTCATGGCAGTCTAGAGCGTTGGCTACCGAGTTTTCCGGCCTGACGGGCAAACGGCATGCACCTTACACAGCTGATCTTTTTTGGAGAATGTTTCATTCATTCTGTGTGATCACTGTATCATAGGTTGTCCCATCAAATGATTGGAATTGGTAGCTGTTTGTGACGAATATTTTTGTGTTTTGTTCACAGGCAATGCAGACCTCACTGAAACTGACACCGACTACCTCGATTCCAATGCTTGGCCTCGGAACGTGGAATGTAAGTCACTCACATAAAACTTGATTTGCTGCAGTCATCTCCTGGCGCCATGAAAAATGTGATTTTCTCAGCCCTGGAAGCCGGCTATCGATCCATAGACTGTGCTTTTGTGTATTCAAACGAGAAGGAAATAGGTGAGGCGCTTGAAGAGTCTCTGAAGAAACTGAACTTGAACCGTGAAGATATTTTTATCACATCAAAGGTATTGTTCACCATATTCCAATATTCCGTCTAAATTTAGTGTTGGTGCACATTCCTGAGGCCCGAGAATGTCAAAAAAGGCTGTCAGAAGAGTTTGTCAGATCTGAAACTTTCATATCTTGATCTGTACCTGATCCATTGGCCTGTAGCCCTTCAAGTGCGTTTCACATTCTCCTTTTCATTGGTCAATTCAGCCAGGTGATGTAAATTTTCCAAGAGACGCAAATGGTCAAGAACTCTTGGTGGACGATGTTCCGCTTCTTGATACGTGGAGGGTAAGTACCATCGTCTAATCTCGCTTCCCTACTCGATTATAGCAAGGGACTGTTCAGGAACTACTCGATTTTCAGGTTTTGTGTGATGTTAGACGCAACAGGTCGAATGCTGTTAGGATTTGGCAATTCATCAACTTTGGTCTCATAATACCTAACAATTTCCTGGACCCGATAGTTCTAGAAATTTCTGATTGCTAGTGAAAAATGCGTAGTGACTAATCTGTCACCGTGTGTTCACTGGATTTGCTTGATTACAGTCGACGCACTGTTTACAGTGTCACATCATAGACAGTTGCATCATTGTTGAAACTTTCTTCGCTATACAACGACAGGGTAGTTAATTGCGTATACAGCCTATGAGAGGAAAGAAGGGAAAGGGCGGATGAGTGAGCGAACTTCATGCTGTCCTATGGCAAGCGTTAGAGGTGCGTACTC